TTGGCTACAGAATCACCTTAGGCATTTTTTCATATTCCATTAATAGCTTCCTTTTCTTTACTTTTATTCTATAATTTATGGCATTATACTTTTAGCCTAAGATTAAACTAATGCTTCCTTTTAGTCTAACCACATAGCATTTGTGAAAAAAATGGAGGGAGGGAGAAAGCTCTGAGGGAGAAAAGGAGGAAAGAAGGAAGGAAGGACAGAGAAAGGTGAAATAAAAGGTTTCAATAAAGAATAGTGGGAAAGGATTGGAAACGGCAAGTATGGCTAACATTATTAAAATGCAACAAATTAAAAGAGATGTGGACAATATTCACAGAATAATAGAAACTTCAGAAAGCCTTAATAGTTATTAACTACTGTGTCACAAACTACCTAAAAATTTAGTGGCTTAATACAAAAAATACCTGTTAACTCAAAGAGATACTACAAACACAAGCAAAATCAGTTCTATGAGGGTGGCAGAAGTTGGATAAAGAGAAGGATTTTACAAGTTGGAATAAGTAAGAGTTATTGATGTGCAGATGGAAATTATTTTTAGTCCAAGTCCTCCAAGGAGTAGATGCCAAGATGAGCTTCAAGTCTGTGGCATTTTATGAGGGAACACACCTGTAAGGGTGTACGGGAAGTGAGCCAGAAATCCCTAGAAAAGGCAGCAGACCAAGATGCAAGTGTGACCCCAAGTGCTGGACAGAAGGAGAGAAGGTTTGTTCCACGCATCCTAGAGCACGGACAATCTAAGGAGGGTTGAGCAAGGCCATGGAGGAGTCCTCCAGCCACAGTTGGCCATCAGGAGTCCTGTGTCTCCCAGAAATGGCCTACCTTAGTGTGCCTGCTGTGCCTCAGCGGTCACTGGCTGGGAACAGCCTATGGGGGAAGCAGGGCTTCTGCACCAATGCTACTGAGGGTGTCAGAGCACAGAGCACAGCCTTAGGAGATTACCCAGGAGTGTGACTCAACCTTCCTTCCTAAGGGTCTGGGCTCTTGAATAGGAAACCCTCTCAGGCTGGATTGCTGGATGTTTCTGCTCACACTTAACAATGGGACAAGGGGAACCAGGAGGTCCCCACATGGACCTCTGGTTTCCACACACTTCTGCTGCCCTCATTGTGTGATAGCAGCCCTGCCTCCTCCTCTTCTTACCTGCTTGTTTCTGGGAACATTCTATTCAGACTTCCCTGGGGGCACCCATAATGTGTAGTTCCATGGACTCCCATTTGTCTCCTTGCCAGGGTGCCCCCTTTGGGAAACCAGGACCTCCTACCCTGCAGAGTCCAGACTTTGGAGATGAGAAGCGCAAAATCACCCTGGTGGTGAATATAAGGGATGAGACATGGAGCCACACCTGCTTCGACTTTTTGTTTTTTGGACCCATGTATTCTTCCTTCTGAACACACAGAACCATAGAGTCATGTTGGATTCAATGCATGCACCACATCCTGAAAGATGGCAACCATTCCTCAGAGGGTTTCATCTAAGCTGGTACTGAGTTGTGTCTGTAGAGACCTATCCATGACTCTGTGTGGCTGGCAGCCCCTGGGAGGTGCAGGTGTTGATGGGAGGCACAGGTGTTGATATGACCAGGGGCTCCCATGGTCATGGCCCACACTTCATCCCCTTCCCTCTGAGGTGTGTCCCGTGGGCAGATAATGTCCTGAAATTCTGAGCCAGTGGATCAGGAATGCAGATAGTGATGCTGGCTGAGGGTGTGAACGCAGAGAGGAAAATCACACCACATCGAATAGGTGCCTATCCCTGTGAGGATGAACCCCTGGCCCTTCCAGGATGGATGGGGCTCAAGCTGTTCAACTTGTCACTTAGGGGCTAGTCAGTTACCTGAAGAAACAGTGCCCTATGGGGCCAAAATTGCTCTGTAATGCTAATAAGCAGAGTATTCAGAGGAAGCAGCAGCTGGACGGTCCTTGGTAAGGGGGAGTCAGTGCTGCTGGACCCACTTGTAGCCTCATTTCTGCCACTGTGTTTATCCACTTATCAGTCCTTCCTGTCATACCTGGGCTGATCCGTGATGCCAGCTGGCTAACTTCAATTTATCTTCAATTTGTTTGGTGATTCAGGGCCACGTCAGGGCTGGGTGTTTTCTGTGGGTGTTAACATGGAATTGAGGCTCAACCCACATGGACCATTTTCATCTCATGATAGATCCCGCTGGGCCTGTCCCATCTATGCCTCTGTGGGTCACATAGAAGCCAATACACAAGGGCACTTAGAATCACAGGTTGCTTGGTGTCCCATGATCAAGCATTCTATCTTATCAGGGCCAGGAACATGCTAAAAGTTGCTTCTAACAGGGAGCATGTTTCTCTGCTGTGGATTCCATGGCCTTATTCCAGATCCCAGGCCCTCCATTCTGACTCTCCCACTGATGCTTGGTTCAGCTCCATCCTGCATCTTTCCCCACACCCCATCCTGCATCTTTCCCCACACCGCCACTTCCAGGACCAGGGGTCTGAGGGATGGTGACTCACTGCACCACAGCCTGGGTCTGCTGCAGTGTCCTTTCCTGTCCAGGCCCCACTCAAAACTGGCCTCCTCCTATATCACCCAGAGTGTGGGCCAAAGAAATATACTTAGATGTGGAATGTGGTGTTGACAGAACCCAGAGAGGCTGGGTAGTGTGCGTCCTTCCTTCTGGTGAGGATACAAGATGCAAGTTTGACTTTTACTTTGGAGGGGAGAGCCCTGCATGTCCCTAACCACTGGACTCATGAAACTTCACTGCAGTGTCCACTCTTGAAGCTCTGTAAGGTTAATCTTCACCTTTCATAGTGCACATGTTTTGCCAAGGAATTCAGCGTACTTTCCTCCTCTTGCTCTTCCATCCTGATCTATGTGATATTGCCAATGAAATGAGCAGATTTAGTATTCTGTGATACATCTGATTTGTCCGGGTCTCTTAAGGTGATATTTACAGAAGGTTGAGGAGTTAAGGTAGCCCTGAGGCAAGCTATCAATAAAGGTATTATAAATTCCATGTGAATGTGAATCATTCCATATCAATTTTCTACATGGAATGGGAAGGAATGCACTCACCAAATCCACAGCTGCTTGCCATGTGCCTGAGGCCTTATTAATCTCCCCAAGCAGTGATATCCAGCCAGCATGGCAGCTGCAATCAGGACTCCTACTTGGTCAAGTCTGGAGAAATTCCATTTATTCTTTATCAGGCTTCTTCAGGGACAGATTGCTGAATTATATGGAGATAATAGGCAATTCCAACACCCCCACCCTGCCCATCCTACAGCTCTCTAACGGCAGTGCTACCCCTACAATACCTGCAGTATCCACCACAAGTCCCACCCTGGCACAATATTACTTATGGCTAGGCTGGGATGAGGGAAGTTTTAGAGGATTCCCTTTGGGCTTCAGCACAATGAGAGCCCTTACTCTCCAGACTAGGGACGCAGTGTGGGGGTGACTCAAGTTGCCAGTGCATCAAGGCCAATTATGCACATGGAGAATGGGGAGATAACCAGGACTGGATTTATGGACCCAGTGGTCCCACTGTGGGCCATAGTGTGTCTAGGTTTATTTCCTGGCCTCCTTAAGCCCCACTGTGGATTCTGAATCTGAAGCTTGGCTGAAGGCTAGGAATTGAGACTGGGATCATGACTTTGTATTTGGTCAAACACCCTCCGCCTCCTGCTCCTCAATTCTTGCATTCTCATCATAGATATGAAGCAGTGCCCTCGCTGGTCGCCCATCTGTTCTGACCCTGGGACACCACCTTTTATTAACCTTCGCCACAATTCCTTGAGGGCCGAGCCCCCTTGGCTGCTACTCTGGGTTCTCACAGTAACCGTGCCCTCTATCTTTTGCAGGTCACTGAAAAGGAGGGTTCCTAAAGCATTCACTCCTGACCCTGAGGGAGGTGGGTGCACTCAATCCAGGTCTCAGGTCGGCCACAGAGAAGCAAAAACTCCTGACGTTCAAAACTGTCCTGGGCCACATTCAGCCCACGAGCTGCAGCTTGGACAACCTTGCATCTAGAATGTATGCATCACAATGCCCGAAGTTTTTCTGTTTTGACTTTAATGCTGCTTTCTAAATGCAAACGCAGTCATATCCCTAGCAGACAACAAATGTCAGTGGAATGAATGATCACTGTAGAGCACCTCCCTATTCTAAAGCCAATATTTTAATTAATGTAGCCTCAGGGCAAATGCTGTTTCATGGCAGCTAAAGAACATCATTTCACGTGGACATTGATGCCGCCAGTGCTTTTCTCACCAGGGCTGCTTGTGCATCCTCCCTTCCTTCCCCCTCCTCCCACACCAACCCTCCTGCACACTGCAGCACACAACCGTATTTTTCTCTTCAGGAACAATAACCCTAGCCTTATGGGTATAATTTTTCAACCACATATGAATCTAAATTAGACTTTGCTTTATACATCCATGAGTTTGGATTGGAGCCAGCGCTAGGATTACTACAACTCAGGGCAGGAAGATGAGTAGGACAGCAGAAGAGGAGCTCCAACAGAAGGTTACCTGTGATGAGAAACTAGGGGACCCATCCTCTCTGCAAATTTCAGAATCTGGTTCCTTTAAAACGATTGGAGACAAGATGGAAAATACAACCCAGGAAAGAGTCCTGGGAGGAGGGCAAGATCTGGACAGGTCTGAAAACTTGTCTCTTGATAACACAAGGAGATTTGTATGCAGGGACCGCCCTAGGTGACACCCAACTCCCTGTGATCACAGGTCTTGGTGGGACAAGGTTCTACTGAAAGGCCAAGGACAATAAAGGAGCAAAGATGACTCAGCCAAGCAGTGACCACATAAAGCCCGTGGTGGCCGGAACACAAACCGTGCACAGCCCCATCTACTCTCCTCCCCTGCAACAAATCAGCACAAGAAACACGTCAACTCTGGAAGGTTCTCAGGTCTTCCATTTATTTTGTCTCTCAAATTTCAGGAATCTTCTCCTTTAATTAACTCATCAACCTCTCATGGCAAGAATTTGAAAAAAGTAAATTTATACTCAGGTTCTAATTGTAATAGGGAAGGAAGAAGGTACAGCTCAGTGCACCATGAAGTTGAGACAGAGATAGAGACATCCCAGCCCCACCTCCCTGGAACAGGAAAGATAAATGGGGAGGGAACACAGGTCAGCCTGGGGAAGAGGGTCATGGTGGACACGGGGATGGGGTGTTCTCCCCACCTCCTCACATTATGCCTGCAGGAACACAGACACATTCAGGTGCCTTTGCAGAAAGAAAGTCAGGGTTCTTGAAGTCACAAAGAGAAGGCGGGAACAAATCTTACCTTGCAGTCCCACACAAGGCAGCTGTCTCACACTATAGAAAACATATTCATGAAAAAATTCACATCCGTCACAGTGAGGAGTGACACTTTAAACAGCCCATCACATGCTCACTACATCCAAGTCAAAGAAACCCCACAGCACAGCTGCGTCCACTGTTCCCCCCAACACCCCCCACACATCAGGCCCCCCAGGGTCTCACCTTTACAAGCCGTGAGAGACACATCAGAACCTTGGGGACTGTCACTGCCTGGAGTAGAACAAAAACAGGACCTGGTCAGACCCCTCTGGAGATGTGGCTAGAGGAGGAACTGTGGGGTTAGTGAGCTCCCCCATGGGCCCCCAACCACAATATCCCAAGGATCTCAGGGATCAGCCTCCTTCATACTTACTTGCAGCCTGAGAGTAGCTCCCTCCTTTTCTATCTGCGGGAAGAAAGTGTCTTGTGAGATATCAGAAAGGAGCCAGGGTCATAAGTTCCTAGAGGAATCTCCTAGTCTTGGACCCCAGAGAAGTTTCCAGAAATGTGTGATTGCAGACCCATGGCGGGATCAGGAAACATGAAGAAAGCAGGTGTGGGTCCTGGACCAACTGCCCTCCTGAGGTCTGTGCTCAGCAGGGACCTTCCCTTGTGACTTGTCACTGCTGGGATCAGGTCCCATCACCACCGTAATCGAGGTGATCTATCTGTCCTTCATTGTAACAGGTGCTTTACAAAAGAGTAGGTGCTGGCACACAGGGCCCAGGCTGGGTCGGCCCATGAGTGTGGATGGTGCTTCCCAGTAACCAGGCAGGGCACACTTCTACCTGAGGCTTGAAACC